GCAGTAATAGTAGTAGTAGCAGTGGTAGTAGTAGTAGCAGCAGTAGTAGTAGCAACAGTAGGAGTAGCAACAGTAGTAGTAGCAGCAGTAGTAGTAGCAGCAGCAGCAGTAGTAGTAGTAGTAGTAAAGTTGTAATAGTAAAATCAAATCATTCATTCGTTTTTTTAGTATTTCAGTATTTGTTTAGTAGCAGCAGCAACAGTAGCAGCAACAGTAGTAGTAGTTGTAGTATAGTAGTAATAGTAAAATCAAATCAATCATTCGTTTGTTCAGTATTTTTCATTCGTCTGTAATTTTTTGACGAACGAATGAAAATGTAAGTGAAGATCTGTTTTTACGATAATAGCAATCATAATCACCACCATCATCCCCATCATCATCATCACCGTCATCATCATTATCATCTTCATCATCATATATTGATCGTTATCGTCATCATTGTCATCCAAAACCATATTGAATATAGATTTCTACACTACCGCCAATGTCAACACACCCCAATGCGGCATAGAAATACACACACACACACACACAAACACACACACACACATACACACACACAATACAAATTACAAACACATACATACACGCGCACACAATACCAAATACAAATCACAAACACACACATACACGCACACATACTGACGATAATACTAAAGCAAACATAACCAAATAAACCGCTGAACAAATATATCGTGTTGTAAAGAATCGCTGGTCTTATAATACTACTACCACTACAATTATAACTACTACTACTACTACTACTACTACTACTACTACTACTACTACTACTACTACTACTACTACTACTACTGTTACAACATTAATAACAACAACAACTACTACTACTACTACTACTATTACAACAACTACTACTAATATTATTTTGAGTATTTCTTCTACTATTACTACTTTAGCTACTACTACTACTAAAACTGCTGCTGCAGCTACTACTACACCTACTACTACTACTAGTTCTATTGAACTGCAATATTTGCATTATTAATAATCTTCTTCTATTTTTGTCATTAATTTTTTTTTCTTTATAGTTCCTCTCTCTATCTCTCTATTTTTCTCTCTCTCTCTCTCTATTTATCTGTCTCTCACTCTTTCATTTATTTCTCTTTTATCTCTCTATCTATCATTTATTTTTTTTTTTCGTCTATATCCTTCTCTTTCTCTCTCTTTCTCCCTCTCTCTATCTCTCTCTCCTTCCGTCTTATCACTCCTTCTTTTTCATACTGACTTACAACTCAAATTAGCCTGTTTTCTAAGCCCCTCTCGTTAAAGATCTTTCTCTCTTTATTCATTCTTCCTTCTCGACTGTTTCTTCCTCTCTCTCTCTCACTCTCTCTCTCTCTCTTTCTCTCTCTCTCTCTATTTGTCTCTTTCTCTCTCTCTCTCTCTCTCTATATATATATATATATATATATTTATATATATATATACACAGTCATCGAAAGACATTGTTGATTGAAAATAACATATAAGGGACAGTTTGAATTGGTATTTCCAATAACAATAATAATAACAATTAGAACAGCAATTGTCATATTAATAATAATAATAATAACTACAATAATAATAATAATAACACTGATGAAGCGATGAAAAAACGAATAATTAAATCATCTTGAAGAGGTACTTTTTGGTGTAAACTTTTTGAAATAGTAACAGTAGTAGTAATAATATCAATAATAATAATAATAATAATAATAATAATCAACAAACAATACGCCAACCAGAGATTTTTTCATTTTTTTTTCTCTTGTATGTAAGCTGTCAAATTTAAAAAAAACGTCATCGTCTGACGTGCGGTGGTATCACGAAATAATATTGATAACCACACGCACACACACGCACACACAAACACGCACATACACAAACATTCACACACACACAAACCCTCAAACACACAGGCACGTACATACTTACACACGAACATACAAAGACAACATAATTAACAAATGACTTATGAAACGTGTGATAATATTTGCATTAATAAATAATAATATTAATAATAATAATATTAATAATTATTATTATTATTATATTATAATGTATAATTTTTCTCTACTTGCAATAACAAAGAAACATCAATACATCAATCAGTTTGATGGTGATACAAGAAAGAATAGAGAAGATGTAATTTAGTTCATTATTATTATTATTATTATTTTCTTATACTCTCTTTCTCTCTCTCTCCCTCTTCTCCTCTCTCTTTCTCTCTCTCTCTCTTTCTCTCTCTCTCTTTCTCTCGCTCACTCGCTCTGAAAAAATAAATTTATGTTAGCAAAAAAATAACATTATTTGTATAAAAACAAACCAATAAACAAGTGGAGGATGTCAAAAAACATGTATGTATGTTTGTCTAAACATGTATGTTTGTCTATTTATTTGTCTGTTTGTTTCATTTCATTTTTTTTTCATTTTTCATTTTCAAAGTTTTATTCATAATCAACAACATATCAAATAAGTGAATAAAAGTTATGAAGTTGAATATGCGGAGACCGAATAAGACTGTTTGTCTTGTGGTGGCCACTGCAGGTAGATTCATGAATAGTTAATGAAATAAAATAAGGAAAATAACTGAAGCAGAAAGATAATTGAAGATAAATAAGTAAATGTTCGTGTCATACATATATAGACATATAACTATGTAAATGTTCGCTCAGTACATATATAAACACATAAATGTTTAACCATTCATAAAGATCATTCCTCCTCATCATTTGTTCTAGCGTATTCTTAATATAATATTAGGTGGTGGAGTCGAGATCCAGTGTCAATAAAAAAGCACGGAATTTTACTTGAAATGTG